AGGGCGGCGGGGTCCGGCAGCCGAGCGGTGCGGCCCGGACGCAGCCCCCGGGACCCCCCCATGGCGGGCGCTGCAATTAGAGGTTCATTTGCCTGGGACGAAAGCGAACACCGCTGGGACCGGCCTTAAAGGGACAGCCGGGCAGCGTGTCCCTGTCCTCCTGCTGGCACCCGGCGCCGCTCGGCGATGGGAGAGCCCGCGGAGGCACAGAGGTGGGACCGGGGGGGCTGTGGCGCCCAAACTCCCCAGGGTGTCCTAACAGCATCTGCTGAACAAGCCCTGAGGTGTCACGGTGGGGTGGCAGGATGTTCAAGCCACACTGGCCACCCCGTCCCCTTCATGTCCCCGCTCCACTGTGTCCCAGCCCCAGGGGGTGCAGCTGGAGGGTGCCAGGATCCAGCTGTCCCTGCTGCACTCAGCAGGTCCCCTCGGGGACACTGTGCCACCGGCCAGGACTCACGGCCAGCTGCTGGTCCTCACTGTCCCCTAGAGCCTTCATGTCCTTGCCAGGGTGCAAGGACACCCTGCCCTCCTGGGAGGGGGTTGTGGGGCTGAATGACCCCCCTAGTCTGGGTTGGGAGGCACCGTGGAGGCTGCATGTCCCCATCCTGCTCTGCCCTGGCCCCTGGAGATGCTGAGGTGCTCCCATCAATGGCTCCTGTTGGCACAGTGGCTGGCACTGCATGCAGGGGTGGTGGACACGGTCATGGGGCACAGTCAGGGTGCCATGAGCTGAGTGACAACATGGCCTGTCCCACACGGGGCACAGCCAGCACATGGCTCAGGGAGATGCCTTTCCACCGCTAATTATTGGTGCAATTAGAGCTGACCCTTAACGAAGGCTCTTGGCTGAGCAGCAAGACTGGTGCCTGGCTCCTGCCCAGCCTCACCTGTCCCCTAGAGCCTTCATGTCCTTGCCAGGGTGCAAGGACACCCTGCCCTCCTGGGAGGGGGTTGTGGGGCTGAATGACCGCCCTAGTCTGGGTTGGGAGGCACCGTGGAGGCTGGATGTCCCCATCCTGCTCTGCCCTGGCCCCCTGGAGATGCTGAGGTGCTCCCATCAGTGGCTGCTGTTGGCACAGTGGCTGGCACTGCATGCAGGGGTGGTGGACACGGTCATGGGGCACAGTCAGGGTGCCATGAGCTGAGTGACAACATGGCCTGTCCCACACGGGGCACAGCCAGCACATGGCTCAGGGAGATGCCTTTCCACCGCTAATTATTGGTGCAATTAGAGCTGACCCTTAACGAAGGCTCTTGGCTGAGCAGCAAGACTGGTGCCTGGCTCCTGCCCAGCCTCACCCCCTGCCCAGAGCCTGGGGAAGGATCCTGCTGGGGGCTCATCCCAACCCTGGCACAGGGGATGCCACCTGTGCCATGTCCCCATGGTGCTGCAGGGTGAGCATAACCAGCAGCTCGTTAATCATTGCCAGGCAAGGCAGCGGCTGGGGGGTGTTTACTCAGTGCTGATAACCCAGTCACCAGGATGGGGACACCCTGAGGGACACCCCCAAGGCCAGGGTGCCTTGTCGTGGTCAGCAGCTGGCTTTGATCCATGGCCTGGGCTGGGGTGAGGAGACTAAGAGTGAGAAGACACGACTTTCCCACCCTCTGCTCAACCCCACGGTGACAAAACAGGAAACGTGACGTGGAAACGCTCCTGTTTATTCAACCCAAAGAAAGAAAATAAATCAGGAGGGCAAAGGGCCAGTGAGCATCTGTGGCCAACACGGGGGTTCCTGCACGGGCCACTGGTCCAGTCTTGGCTACGGCTCCTGTGGAAGAGCAGCTGTGGGGTCAGGGAGCTGTGGGACCCTCAACTTGTCACCCCACAGAGGCAGAGACCCCACAACCTCAGCCCAGATCAGGGCCAGAAGCCTCATCCCCAGAGACACAGAGCAGCAACCCGGGCAAACGGGGGGGCAAGCAAGGTGAAGCTGGAGGCACTGACCTTGGCAGCATTCTCTTCCTCCTTTCCATCCTCCTCTTTTCCATCCTTCTCTTTTCCATCCTCTTCCTTTCCACCCTCCTCCTTTACATCCTCCTCCTTTACATCTTCCTCCTTTACTTCCTCCTCCTTTACTTCCTCCTCCTTTTCATCCTCTTCCTTTTCATCCTCCTCCTTTTCATCCTCCACCTTTCCACCCTCCTCCTTTCCGCCCTCCTCGTCCTGGCGCACTTCGTACAGCACAGTTGTCTCCTGCATCTTCCTCTGCAGCTCGTCTTCAATGACCGAGAAGTACTTGTTGCGGGTGTCGATAAACACCTCCTCAGGGGTCTGCTGGAACTGCTCCACCTCTGCCCCCACACCCTCCGACTGGGCACGCTCCTTCAGCCGCCTTTCCCGGTACCGGGCCTCCAGGACCTTCTCCCTCCTTGTCTCCCGCTCGAACATCTAGAGCAGAAGGGGCACTGAGGGGCACGGGGCTGGCAGGGCACCCCACGCGGGCGGTGCCGAGGGCTTTGCCGTGACCCGGCACAGCAGTTTTGTGGCTCAGAGGGCACGTACGTTGTTGGCCACGTTCTTCTCGTTCTTGTGGAGGGTGCAGAGCGCAGGGCAGATCTGCAGCAGGGTGACAGTGCCCACCCGGGAGCCGCAGGCGAGGATGCAGCCGTTGTCCTGCAGGCGCAGACTGTCCAGGGGTTCGTTGCAGATCTGGGGAGGCAGGACAGGTGGGTGGCACTTAGCCCCAGAGTGACACCCCAGAGGGGAAATCAAGCAGGATGAGCCGGCAAATCCACGTGGCTGCCACCAACAGGAGCCTACACGTGCATTTTTGGGCATGTTGTGCCCCAGGTTCAGCTCAGGGAACAGTACTGCTTGATGGAGCTATCCCAGGATCCACGCAGGCAGGGTGGGACTTGATCCCTGGGCTCTGCCTGCTTCATGTCAAGACCCCCTGCCGGCACTGGTCTGGTGCAGCCCCCCCACTCCCCTCCCTGGCCGAGGGACCCAACCTTCAGGCTGAGGCATGGGTCCTTCTGCTTGAAGAGGAAGTCCCAGACATCTAGGGTGCCATCCGACCTGGCGGTGAAGAAGACGGCCGGCTTCATGGTGCTCCAGCATCCGTCCATCAGGTAGGAGAAGTGGTTCCTGCCGGCAGACCCGGGGCAGCGGGGATGGGCTCATGGCCTCCAACCCCCTGCAGGGCAGCACATCCCCCCATGGCACAGCACCTAGAGCCACCAGCCCAGACCTGGGCACCCTCCATCCCAGCACTGCTCTGCCTTGGTGACCATCCCAGCCCCCGCTGGCTGTCTGCCCCAAAGATGCCCTTCCACCAACAGGAAGGGTTTCTGCAGGGCACATACACACCCACACCTACTTGGTGCACATAATTGCCGATTCCTTGATCTCCTCTGACCAGATCCGAGCAGCCCAGCCACCAACTGTCAGGAAGATTTTGGGGTTAAAAGGGTTCCTGGTCAGCGCGTAGATGGGTCCGATGTGGCCGCTGAAGGTGCCGCTGATTTTTTCCTGGGGTGTCTTGGCCTTGCGGTTGCAGGCGAGGACGATGCCTTGTTCTGTGCCCACCATGAACTTGGTGGGCTGAGGGTGGGAGCAGGAGACAGCAGCCATCAGCAGGCTGGGACCACCTGGTGTGTGCCAGGGGGGCAGCACAGCAGCCTGCTGTGGGTGCTGGCTGTGTGCAGGCAGGGTGGTCCTGACAGCATGGGTGCTCACCAGGGTGGGCTCGAATTCCAGTGCAACAGCACCCAGAGAGTCCCTCAGGCTCCCTCTCCCACTGATGTCCAAGATCACCTTCTCGGTGGGCTGGGACAGCTTGCGGATATCCCACCACAGGACCTGCAGGGGACAAGCAGCAGGAGGGGGCAGCAGGGCCTGCCCCTGGCCCAGCCGAGGGTTCTGGGGGGCTGAGTGCCCTGTGCCAGTCCATGGTGCCAGCCTGGGACCTGGTTCCTGTGCTGCCATGGGACTGTTCCCAAGTGCCCAGCACCCTTCCCTGCCCCTGCCTGTTACCTGCCCGTCAGTGGAGGCTGAGAAGCACTCAGTGCCCGTTTTGGACTGCAACCAGAGAGCTCCATACACGGGGTCTCTGTGGCTGAACTCCACAGTGGACACCTCCACGGGCAGCTCCCCTTTCCTGATGTCCCAGTAAGCTGGGAAGGAAGAAGAGCTGTTAAGATCTGCACTGGTTCCCTTGCCCAGCTCCTTTGTTTGCTGAGGAGATGCTGCCCCACTGTCCAAGCCAGGATGGGGGGCTGAACCTCCCTGGGTGCACTAATGACATTTCATCCTTTGTGAGTGCAGCAGGGCTGGAACCAGGCTCTTGCTGAATTAAACTGGAGCCTCATTAACATGACCTCACATCTAATCCACCTTCCTTACCCATCTGCCCATTGTAGCATCCTCCCAACAGGATGTTGGAGTCTTTGGGGTTGTATTCCAGGGAGACAAGAGGGGAGGATGGTGAGAGAGCAATCTCTGGCTCGTTGGGGTTTCCTGCCAGGAAAGGATGAATAAAGAGCAAAGTGTAACAGCAGCCCTAAACCTGCCCCCCTCTCCCCCATCCCAGTCCTCCATGCCTGGCTCCTGGTCATGCTGGATGAGGTGACAGTGTTGCCAGGACAATGGAGCTGACCTGTCCTCATCTGCCAGCCTGGGGGCAGACCCCTGGTACCCCAACCCCCATAGCCCCAAACCTTCTTCTTCGTGTTTTTCACTCCAAAATCCAACAGGCTTGAGAATCTTTGGCAAAACAGGGCAGTTCTCAGCCTGGGCTTGTGCTGCCTGGTTCTTACTGAAGCCCAAGTGAAACAACCCTACAAAAACAAGAACCACCCAAGAGCCACGTGGCTCCGGTGCCTGGTGCAGGAAATTGTGCACTGGGATTGCAGTGATGATTTCCCACCTGTCAGCCAGCTTTCAGCTCCCACTCTCCCCTTTCCTGCATTGATCTGTGGGCAGAGCAGGAACCCAGCCCCCGCTGACCCTCCCTCAGGGCTGTGAGGCCTCCTCACACACTCTGAAGGCACAAAGAACTTCCGCAGCAGCAGCATTACCGACCACTGGGCTTTCCCTTCCCCTCACCCAGATCCCAGATGTAGGAATCAAAGCTCATGTCCTTTGTGCTGTGCTGGAACTGGAGGTTGGAATAAGCCACGGCCAGTTTCTCGCTCGCGTTGGGGTTCCAGGAGAGACGTGTGGCCGGCCTCTTGACTACGTTTGGATCCCTTTTGGATAACAGGACATCAAAGGAAGATGGTGGGTTGCTAACAGCTTTGTCACGCCCTGGGCTGATGGTCTCCCACAGGAAACTGTGGGCATTGCAATTAAAACAAGCTGCAGCCCTGGAGCATTGAGTGCAGGAAACGACTCTCGTGGGGCTTGGGGTGGGAGGGGAGAAGAGCTGATGATTTAATAAAGTCTTTCCAGTTACACATTTCTAAGAATCCAATTAAGTTACTGGATCTGACTTCTAGAAATGAGCTAACAGCCCCTGACATTTGAAAACAATCTTTGAGGCACCAGAAAGACTAAATCCTGACCAAAGCACTATTCAATGCTCTGTGGTTGCCCTCGGGCCGTGGTGCCTCTCTGCAAAGTGCCTGGGCAGGGAGGGATGGAGCAGATGGAGCAGGGGGGCTGCAGCAAGTCTCTCCATCCATAAAGGGACCCAGGTCTATCCTAAATCCCACGGGTTTTCCCCCTGCTTTGCCTCCAAAGGCAGTTTAGCAGCTCGTTGTGGCCCTGCTGAGCCCGGCTGGCCGCGCTACCTGAGGATGTTGATGGTTTTTGCGTAGGGGGGCTGGTCTTCCAGCTCCACCGCGTCACCCTCTTCAAAGTACTCCTCGTAGATGTCGATGGTGTTGTTCTGCCTGACGTAGTGCTCCATCAGCTGCAGGGGAGCACAGGCAGAGGCCAGGGCGCTGCCCGGGCGAGGGCAGGGGGCTCTGGGGGCAGGAGGGGGGGGAGAGGGGCGGGCAGGCCCTTACGGTGCCGAGGTGCAGGATGGTGTTGATGTAGTTCTCGTCTTTCTCCAGCTTCTTCCGGAAGCGGGAGGGTTGCTCGGGCTCCTGCGG